CTCTCTCTCTCTCTCTCTCTCTCTCTCTCTCTCTCTCTCTCTCTCTCTCTCTCTCTCTCTCTCTCTCTCTCTCTCTCCTTAGGATAATTTGATCAGACAACAGCACTGCAATGATTCAACTCCCAATCAGCATGCAATCGCACACCACGCGTGATAGAACATTCATGTGAGAGGTCACACTGGATACCGAGAGATGAAAACCAAAGTCACTCACTGGAATCCACACCAAATTGTTGTATTATACAAAGAAATTGTTTGTATCCTACAGCGGCACCTGCTGCACACCAACCAAAGTATGAATCAGGTACGTAACTGTTCTTCCCTCTCCCTCATGTGTGACTCTCCCTCTCTCTCTCATGTCTTGCATCGCTCATCCTCTGTGGCATCCTCAGTTCCACACGGGCCCCGCAGGGCCTGACAGTATGGTTGAGGTTCTGTAGGGTTCAGGGTCTGTGTCACTTCGGCCGTGTTAGGCCCATAGGACCCAGTAGGCCACTATCTCGTTTTGTCGACCTTTTGCCAGGTTCCTACTTTTGGCATCTTTCGCCAGACTCCTGCTTCTTGGCGCCAGCCCATTTCGTATTTTTGCCAGGTTCCTACTTTTGGCAACTTTTCGCCTGACTCCTGCTTTTGGGCGCCATAACTTTTCGTATTTTCGCCAGGTTTTTTTTTTGGGCGCCAGAACAGATTCCTGCTCTTGGTGCCAGACGAGTTTTCCTTTCGCCAGACAGTTTCCTCTCGGCCTAGGACACTAGGCCCAGCGCTATACATAGCTGGGCCAGCCTCATCGTAGGCAGGTAGTTCGAGATAGTGTTCAGGTAGTACTGAGGCAGTGCCTCCGTAGTCTTCAGTAGTCGACACGCTGGGCGCAGTAGCATTAGATTAGAGAGTAGTCTTCCAGCGCTGGGCGCTGCTAGGAGTAGTCGAGCTTGGGATACATCACGCTGCAGCAGGGATTAGGGAGTTGAGGCTGGCGGAGGCCAGGGGACTTCATCTTCAGCACGTCCGTACCTCCATCAAGGCGGCACCTTGCCGCAGGTCAGTACCTGGATACCTCACACAGAGAGAGAGAGAGAGAGAGAGAGAGAGAGAGAGAGAGAGAGAGAGAGAGAGAGAGAGAGTGAGTTGACGTCAGGACTTGGTGACTTTCGGGCATTGCCCAGTTCAGTGACATTGTGATTTGACATTGTATGAGCAGCGACATTGGGATACGTTGGAGACTGGGTTAATCGGGCTATGGTGGCTGATCCTCCCTATCTCCTCCCCTTTGTCTCTTCGTCCCCACGTGCGTCCAAGTATGCAGTCAGTCTCAGTGCATCTTCCTTGCTTACTGAGCTGAGCCATTCCTGACGTATGATGATGGTTGCAGTCAGGTCCTGTCATTGTCCCTGCTGAGTCAGATCTTGGTATTTCAGTCTTCCGCTGTGCTATTTTTTGTGTTGTTTCTGAGAGGTCGGTTCTCGGTTCTGATCGATGCCGATAAGGCAATGCGACATCCTCCATGTCATGCTCATGCTCTCCCTCTCCCTCATGAATCCACCCTGAATACAGCTGCGATGTCCCCAAACCTCTAACCGCTGTTGTGATGGTCTGCTATCATAGATACCTTTGACTTTGAGTTGAAAACTATCAAAGGTAAGTACAATGTGGTAGTTGACGCTCTCTCTAAATGGTCTGATTTCATTGGGACGATTTTTACTTATCTTGAAACAGGAAGCAAACTGAAAGACAAAATCAAAGAAGAGTATGCTAAAGATGGAATATATCAGCCTATAATCCAAGCTCTGAAAACAAACCTTGAGGCTTGAACGCGTCCCGAATTATAAGATGACTAATGGCATTCTCTTCTTGTTGGACAAAGGCGAACAACGTACGTATGTTCCCCATGATGAAGTAGTGAAAAGCTTGATTTTGGGTGAACGTCATGATACTGGAGATCACTTTGGCTTCAAGAAGACCTATGCTAATATTTGGGAACTGTTTGAGTGGCAAGGAATGAAAGAAGACATACTAACCTATATGAGGATCTGTCTTGTGTGCCAGAGAAACGAGTCGTCCCGTAAGAATCCACTTGGACAACTCAGACCACTTCTTATTCTCAACTGATGAGGTGAATCTATCTCCATTAATTTCATAAGTCTCACCAAAAGTCGACATAAGAATAGCCAAGTCATGGTCATAGTCGATCGGTTCTCTAAATATTCTATGTTCATTCCTCTACCAGCTGAAGCTAAAACCAAAGTAGTGATTCAAAAATCTCAGATGCGATGGGTTTTTGAGTATGGATTTCCTAAAACAATTATATGTGATGGAGATGTGAAATGGTGAAAGTTGATGAAAGTGTACGGTACCAGGCTGATCATGTCGTTAGGTAGACATCTTGAAACAAATGGAAAGACTGAACAAATGAACCGCTTGTGTCAACAACTTTTGCGCATGTATGTCGGACCAGACCAAGTGGATTGGGATGAAAACTTGCTAAGGATAGCAAGTGCATATAACAGTAGTGTTCATACCGTTACTGGTCGGACACCGAATGCACTGCATATAGGCTGGCAACATATGAGGCCTATGGACTCTCTGACGAGGGACCAGATCCAAAGGTTGCCTTCCGGTATCCGTAAATTTGCAGTTTTGTATGAACAAAATATTGAAAGAGTTCAAGCAAACATTAAAAAAACACAACATTAGATGATTGAGCAAGCTAACAAACATCGTAGACCAGCTCAATTCAAAGAAGGAGATCTCATGTGGGTCAAGTCTAAATGAATTCACACTTGACGAGGGAATTTTGCAAAAATTGCTACCTGTCTACTACGGGCCATGGGAAGTTCCTAAAGTTATAGGGAACGCAGACGGACCATCCTATAGGATAGATGTGCCCTCATCTTAAGACTGATCCCGTTTTCGATGCATCTAAACAGCTACCCTACATTGAAGGCCAAGACTTTGCCAACAAACCCTTGATGTTCCCACCTTCAATGGATGGCGGGTATCAAGTTGAAAAGATCCTTGATCATGGCATCTTCTCTACCGGGGGGACAGGAAGACCACAGAAGCAGCATAAGGTAAAGTTCAGTAATCAACCAGAGCCAACTTCTCCTCTGGACTAACATCCCGTGCCAGCTCAAAAGGATAGAAAGGCTGTGGTTTGAATTGATAAGGAAGGGACACTATGGATCATGTGGAAGGAACGAGGCGGTAAAAACCTTGAACACCTCACCCGCGGGAGGTGTGGGCAGAAACAAAGACTCCGCTGCAGGCCGAAGTTCGGTGCAAATGGTGGAAGCAGAAGCACGCAACGCCAAAGGACGAAGAGCTACAAGACAAGGACAGCAAAGACTCTTATCAGATTGTGTTCGGCGGAAGGAAAGGCGTCGGATATTCGGGAAGATAGGTTACATTTGAAGAATTGGCATAGCTCAGAAATGGGCGGACGGGATAAGATGGTGGCAGCAGAGGCGAAGTCCTCGTTACAAAAAAATATTCTGGTAGAGGGCAAAGGCGGAAGCGCAAGTGCTTGCTGCCGGAGGATGAGGGAGAACAAAAGAAGACCAGTAAGAGATCCATCAGGTCGTGGTGAGGAAGGGTCAAGGAGGCAGAACTTCGGGTTAACCACTCCCAAGGGAAAGCTCTCAAAACTCCGAGACAGAGACTCCGACACAGAGGATACTAGCAGAGGAGAGGCAATTGAACCAAACGAGACCAGACGTCCCCAGTAGGAGCAGGAATTTCAAGAAACAAAGGAGGAGAAAGGAG